CAGAATGGATTACAAATCTGTTCTATTAGAGAATATTTTCCTTCGTGGTAGACTGCTACTCCTCCAACGCATTTCTAATACTCGCTGATTGGTTTTCCTTGATTTTTGGCAATAGCCAATCAGTGAGTCTGTTTTAAAGCAGACACCCTTCCCTTGCGCCCTTAACGCGTCTTTCTGGGAGGGTGCTGGTGTATGGGAGGTGGGAGCGACCGCAAGGCTTTGGCAAAGGTAGGAAAATTCCTCCAAGCATCACCGTCATAAAACAATGTCAGGCTGACCCTTCGGAACTGTTCCTTTTTTATGACACGTCCTGGCCATCGAGGCCGAGAGAAGCGAAGTCCCAAAAATCAAATAATAGAGCACGCGTATTCTCGGCCGGCAAACATTTCACGTACAAAATGCATACCAAGTGTTATTAAAAATCCTAAGCTCAAAACCAGCCGACTAGGCACGTTCGTGTCATAAAGAACATTAGTGCTGTGCACTAACAGTGCGTATAGTTTCGATCAATCGTGATCCTTGAGCTGCATACACTTTAAAATTGCAAATATAACCTGTGTCACTTTCAGACAATATTCGTATGAGTATGCCGTGTTTTATAATTTTTCCAGCATTGTAAACTCTAAAAAACAATCGTCCTCTCCATGGTATTATGCCCTCATCTAACGATACTTGTTGTTTCGGTTTGTAGATGTTATTGAATTTTTCAACAAAATAATTTAGAATAGACCTGACTTTGAATAATCGATCAGAATTGTCTGTGATGTCAACATCGTTATTGAAATGCCAAGCCTTCCATATTTGGCGAAATCTATCCCTTGACATAGTTTTTGAAAAAAAACGGTGTACTTGTGCAGACATCAGTTGACCAATAATCGTCTCGGGCGACTTTACGAACTTGTCTCATGAAAATAATAAGCCCCAAAAATGTCTTCATCTCCGGAATCGTAGTATCTCTCCATTTCATGCTTTTGGGAGATATTTTGAACTGATTCATATTTTGATAATAATATCTGTTTGATTCCGCGACTAAATATGCAAAAAAGTAGTCGCCTATAAGTAACTTCACTGCATCAGCTGTGGATTCAGGAACATTAGCCATATTAGTTATCCCAGGATGACCCAAAAACTCTTCAAGGTCTGGAGGATTGTCAATCGATGACCATTCATCTGCTTCTTCATCAGAAGTTGTTTCAGAACTACTAGAAATTCTTCTTCGGATAAACACTCGAGAACGTGGAATAATGTCATCATCGTCGCTTTCTTCGGTATCTTGAAATTCAGAATCACTATCATACGAAAAGTCCGATAATCTGTCAGCGCATATTTCTTCATCACTATCTTTGTCACAACGTCTCATTTTATCAATTTTGTAATCAGTAATAAAAAACCAAGCTTCAAATTGACAAAACACGACTTGTACGTTCTGGAGCTAGGAATTCAATTGAAGACGAAATAACTCAACAAAAGACCGAGTAACTCGACAGTCATAACTTGTGGGAAGAAAAAATACAAAGCGATGCCTAGCAACGCAAACACACGCATATAATGTCACACATAATGTAATTATACGTATTTAATAGATTTGTGGTGGTTAGCGGGTATCCACCACAAATCTACTAAATACGTATTTTTACGTGACCCGCCCTCCAGTGACAGACTGCAAAAAACGTAAAAATACAGGGTTCCCCGGAAAGAATCATCCGATTTCAAAAATTTATATTTTAAAAAATTACTTTTACAAAATTACTTTCGTTACACGTATGATATCATTGCGATATGAAAGTTCTTGCCAAACACGGTGTAATGTATCTCTGGTAATTGTTTGTGCAGCATCACAAATGCACAGGCATCCAGTGTCCTGGAACTGATGATACCATCTGCGAATACTCTGAGCTGTCGGTAGGTTACTTTCATATTTCATGCGAAATTCACGTTGAACAGTGATTACTGACTTATATTTCGCAAACGAGAGAACACAAAAAGCCTCTTGTTCCATAGACGCCATTTCACGTTCTTTCACAATACAGCAAAACAAGCAAACAGCTAGTGCCACCTATTGAGAAAAAAATAATAAAAAGTAAAACTCGCACATTTTCCCGTTATATTCGTGTTTGAATTATAATTTTCTGTGTGTAATTTTTTAAAATGTAAATTTTTCAAATCGGTTGATTCTTTCCGGGGAACCCTGTACATTGCTCGCATGCCAAGTGTTAATATGGCGCCTTGCCCGTCGCCGATCTTCCACACACCGTGAGGTATCCTATGAAGGGGTAGGATGTTTTTAATTGAATCGTTTAATCCCTCGTTAAAAATTGGTGGCCCTGAAAAGGGCAGATTAGTGTCAGCGGTAATACTGCTTAAAATGCCGCCCTGCAACCTCATTACACCATTCGGCACTGCTTACAACTTGTCGCTGGACTTTTTCCAATGTTTCAGGAGTTATCGTTGCAACAGCTGCGTGCATTCTCATTACTATTTCATCGGCGCTGTTCACCGCTTCCTTGTACACCGCATCCTAGAAGTAGACAAAATTAATCTAAAGAAACAGTAAAAAAATGCAATAATAATTTGAAAATATTCATTTCTAAAATTACCTTTAGATATCCCCAAAAATAAAAATCCAACGGATTCAAATCAGGTGACCGTGGGGGCCATGGCACAGGTCCGTCACGGCCGATCCACCTGTCTTGAAAGGACTCGTCTAGATGGGCGCGAAATTCTGTGGCGAAATGGGCCAGAGCAGTCCGTTTGATAAAACATGTTCTGCCGGAACTCCAAAGGAATGTCTTCCAAAAGCTCTGACAGAACATGTTTTAAAAAAATTTTATACGCTGGACTGTCCAACCTGTTAGGAAGGATGTACGGCCCAACGATAAAATTGCCACAAATTCCGGCCCATACATTTACCGAGAAGCGAACCTGTGCATGATGGGCATTGAAACACGCTTCTCTTGTGAAGACTGCTTCATCTGTCCATAAAATGTATTTGCAGAACGATGGATTTCGCGCTACTTCTCCCAGCAGCCACCTCGAATATTGAATCCGTTGATCAAAATCGGTGTCCAGTAATTCCTGCACCCGTATGAATTTGTATGGGTGCAGAGAATTGTCCTGTAGGATACGGTGTACGGTAGTACTGCTGACACTAGAAAAAAATACATACAAATGCATAAACATTTACAGATTAAGAACATTTTTTTTACGTAATTAATAATCATGGTTACTTTAATTGTGACTTACCCCAAGCGGCGACTGATTCCTCGCACACTTTCTGTGCCATCCTCCTCTATTAGCGTCTGTACATCATTTTCTGATCGGAGGGTCCGTGCAGAAAATGCACCGCCCCCTCGTCATTTGATGATGATCGGTCGGTGTACTCAAATTTGGGAATTCTTCCCGTATTCTCCTCACAGTCGCGGCGGCATTTCCTTCGCACTGCGCGAATATCCAAAATATTTGGTACTGTTTCCGCGGTTAAAACATTTTAGAAAACTTCGCAACGTATTCTCTGGCACTGTCAAAGGCTTTGTGGCCCTTCTTCTCACGTTGCGAGCCCACTATCGTTTCAAAAACAGACACACATCGCACAATTCGATGTTCGCCTGTTTGACGAACATACCTTGTTTTAATCTTTCAAACACCTTTACAGACAAACCAATAAAAAATAGAACTAAATAAAACGTCTTCGTGAAAAATAAAAATTGACTTAGCTTCTGAAAAAAATTCATTTTTATTTATTATTTTCGAATGTGCAAAATGAATAAATTACTTTATAGGAATGAATCTAAAAGTAAGATATTTGAAATATATTGCATCAAGCAGTGTTTACGCTCAGATAAATATTCATTCTACTCTTTTGAAATGTTTATTCCTTAAATTATTGCTCATTTGTCAATTTCTTTTTCTACAAGTTTGTAATATGACTATAGTTTTATCAAATGTACTTTCAAAATTGGAACAAAGTTCTAAAATATTTGCCAGCATGTAATTGTTTAGAACGGCACAGATCGGTAGAAATGCTACATCAACATATAGATGCTTGATAGCTAGAAGTAAAAAAATGTTCGAACATACTTTTTGTTGATCAATCGTTTAGCAGCTAGGAGTTAAATTTTGTACTCCAACTTTTAACAATTATTCAAATCCAAATGAACGTTTCAAAAACTATCGAGTAGAGAGAAATTAAGAATATATAATATAATATAATATTACTATAGATAGCTACTGCGTTGGATACAATTAAACAAAGTGTTCTTATCATTATTCTTAATTAAATTATAGTATTGTTACAATAAATACAAGATGCAAAACAGTATAAAATGAAAAGTTAAGAACAGTATATGTATTATTAGAACTGAATTAGTTATTACTTCTTGGGTTTACCGCAAGTGTAGATGAAGTAATTTTAAACGGTGTTATAATACATTGAAACAAGCAATTTTTTAACGTAGAAAATGCGATTTGAGAAAAAAAACTTGTGATGTGCATATTCCGAAGTATACAGTGGGCGTAGAAAGTATTCGTACGGCAATCAATTTCAACAAAAACTGTTCCGGCCGAATCGCGGACCGCGGGTCAACGCACGTTCGACTTTCGATGTACGCCGTCTCGCCGTTTTTGTCGAATAAACGGCGAGGCGGCAAGACAATAACACGATCGACGTGCGTTGGCCCGACCGTCAAACGCTCGCCTCGGCCTAAATATATACGCGGTGTTTTTGCCTTAGGAGGCCATTCATACGAAGCCGTGCTTCAAATCATACGTCGAACGGAGCCGTGCTCCAAAGATTGTAAACCGAAGGACTGTGGAGTCAGAATAAATAAATCGTGTCGTCTCCTCACGACTTCCGGCGGTTTAATTTTGTGCCGTGCGCAACATTTCTGGTCCTTCGAGCCGGATCTGGAGACGACACAGGAGAGATAATCCATCTCCATCAGCAGCGTCGATCACGCAGTCGATCGACGCATACGAGTCCGCTATAAGAACTGCTGGTCAAAATGGAGCAACTTATTAAGGAGCAAGAGCTCACCATCGGGGGACTTTTCCGGATCCTGCCCAATTTCAAGCGCCTGGGAAAGGCAAAATTCACGGAAGCCGCCGCCGAAGAGGGCCTTCGCCGCCTGCGGACCGAGTGGGACGCGTGCCGACGTCTCCACCTCCAGTTGGAGCTGAAGGCCACTGCCGAAGAACGGGAAACCCGCGAGTACTTCAAGCAGGGGTATTTCGAGCGGGCCGAAGCAGAGTTCGAGCAGGCGAGTGATTTTTTCGTTGAACTGATCGCTTCATTTAGGAGCGGGACGTCTGCGCTGGCTGACGCGAGCCAGACAAGGGAGT